GGCCCGATGGTTGCCATGGCGCTGTTGTGCACCGTGGCGCAGCCGATCCAATCCGATGTCGATTCCGTGCCTGTGCAGACCGATCTGGCGCAAGTGTCGATGCGATCCGAGTTCCCGACTCAGTGCTGGCCGATCTTGCATGCAGGACGCATTCGTTTCTTGGCGGAAGCGGTACTGGACCCCGGGGCCCTTCCCCGGGGTCTGACCTTCCTTGGGTCACCCGTTGGGTTGCGCTTCGCGCGTCGCGGTCTGGGCCAGAGCGGTTACCCGTCCCCACAGGGGGCGGCGCGATGGCGCGAAGACAGCCGCGCGTCGCGGGGCGCGCTGCGCGAAGTCCAGGGACCAGCTCGGAACATCTCCCGACCCCTACGATGGGCATCGTTTCGTATCCACGCCAAGCTCTGGATTCTCTCAGCCTTTGAGGGCGCAGCCCCAAGACTGTCACCTTCATGTCGGCTTCTTCCGCAACCAATGTGGCTCAAGGCTCTCCCGTTGCAGCTTCCAAGCGGTTTGGTTCGGCCGGCAGTGCCCTGCGTACACGATCCCAGCCATCCGCCGCACTGGACCGCTTGCGTGCAGTTCCCCGCGATGGCGGAGGCGCGCCACACGGCCCGTCCTTTCAGCGGCGACCAGGCCGCGACCTCGCTCGAGGAGCCCCCCGCCCGCCCCGTGATGCAACCCGTGATGCGCCCGCGCCCGGCGCAGCGCTTCTCCCTCAGCGCCTTAAACGAGGGCGGCGTGCGATCACGCCCCCCGATCACCGACGAGGAGCTCGCCGCCTTCTGGCCGCGGCCGCGGCCCGCGCCTCAGGCGGCGCCCCCTGCCGCGGGCAGCAGCGCCGCACCCGCCGACGCCGCGGAGCCCGACGGCGGGGCCGCGGACGAGCCGACGAAGTGGGCGGGCGCGGCGGCGCTGGCGCTCCGCGCGCAGCGGTGCCGCGGAGACGCCGCCACCGCGGAGGCCTCGGAGCCTCTTGTGCCGGTGAAGCCGTCGTCGGCGCCGCGCGCCGCGTTCAGGTCCGGGGCCCGGTCGTACCACCCTGCCTCGGGTGGCTCGCCGGCGTAGGGCGCGGCGGGTCGCTTCCGCCTGTCGCCGCGCAGAACGGGGGGTGGCTGAGCGAAGTCGTCATCGTGGGAGCCCATGGAGGGCCCCAAGCAAACAACATGCCCCAAGAGGGCCCCCGCGCTGCACCTGGCGCCACCCGCTGTGTGAGGCGCCGCCGCGTCGGGCTCTGACTTTTTCCTCTCTGGGAGCAAGCGCTGGCCGGTCTCAGGGCCAATGGCCCTCATGGCTTGCCATGAGCGGGGCTCGAGCGCAATAACGTGCACCATGCCCGCTTTCGTGGGGAGGTGGAGGGGAGGAGCGGAGCTCGAGTGCAACAACGTGCACCAAGCCCGCTTTCGTGGGGAGGTGGAGGGGAGGAGTTGCGGAGAGAGGTTGTGCAGGGGGAGCAGGGCGGGCGTGGAAGTCGTGATCTATGATCGAGGAGACCCCAGGACGGTCCCGCGCTGCACCCGACCTTGCGAGGTGCCGTCTCGCTGGTCTCGGATTTGTTTTTGCTGGAGGCCAGCACTGGCCAGGCTCAGTACAAATGGCCGGCTTGCTTGCCATGAGCCGCTTTGGTGGGGAGGTTGAGGCGGAGAGTAACAGAGAGAGGTGTCGCAGCAGGAGAATGGCGGGCGTCGCGAACGACCCAGCCACTTTGCGCATGCTCGCCGGCAGTGATCCGACACTGCGCGCGTGGAAGTCATGCCCTCCAGGGGTACTGTGAGATGGTATCACCAGTGATCCTTCAGAGCAGCAGCGCACCTGGAACGCATCCTGAGCCAATCTTATCCTGGCATCGTTCCCGCCCTTCCGTGGGAAGCGCCCTCTTTTTTTCTGTCGTGCGCGAGGAGGCCTCGGGCCTCCGACGTCGTGGCTGCCCAGCTCTGCGGGCTCCAGATCTCGGGGGGAAAAAAACACACAGACACAATTAATCGTCGACTCCCCTGAAAATGTGGGAAAAGATGGGCAGTGGGGGGGGAAGACAAAAACCCAGAAAATATAGGAAAATATGGGGAATAGTTTTACTTGTGTGTATTTATGTATGTGTCCCAGGGCCCCTTCAAGATCGCTCGACCCCTTCCTGGGGTCCCGCACCTCCCTCGGGCTCCTCTTCGGACGGCCCCGGGGGCCCCTGGGCGCGTGGCACGCGCTGCTCGCGGGCGATCCCCGGCCGAGCGGCCTTGTCCCAAAGGCCGATCCCCCTGTCAAGCCCGACGGGCCCTCTCGAGTGAAGAATGCCGCCGCGGGGCGCCCGAAGTGGGGAGTGGCGCTTGCCCTCCCGCGTTTGAAACACTCGCCCTGGGGCGGGTCCATCCATAGTCTCGACGTCGGCCGCTGGGGCAGCGCACGGGCCGTGCATCAGTCAGACTCGGCAGCGCAGTAATATGTCTCCTCGATGTTTTGGTCGCGTATGTTCCAGCGTATGCGCACCCGCTTTGCATGCGATCCACGCGCGCCGTCATTCGAGAAGGCCTTTTGAGTCGGCAGCGATCACCTGCGGGTAATTTGGCTCCCCGACAGCGCATGCCTGCTCGTTATGACGACCGAGACACCCGAAAACGAATCTTCAGATTGGATTATCGATCTCAGGGACAGGGATATGATCGAGGCTGGCTATCAAGGGACGAGCTGGCCTACTCTTCATCAGCCACGCGCAGGGGGTGGTAAGGGGAGGGGGGAAGGCGTCTCAGAAGGAGGCTGCTCCTTGGGCGGCGCGGGCCTGATCTGTGGATACTGTCAACCCAAATCGTAAGGATGGGCAACCGTCCCAAGGGTATCTTTGCATCCTTGCCTCCTCGGCCCATCATTGGCCGCTTTCGTTGGCCTCGCCCCGCTGGAAAAGCTTCGACGTGGCCTTCCAAGGCCCTCGCATCCTTATCGCGCGTCCTTACCATACAGGCCAATTGTATCAGGCCAGCGCGCTTCTAAGAAGCAACCTACTTCTCAAAGGCCACCCCCCCTCCCCCCTGCCCAGCCCCCTCCTCTTCCCCTACCCCCTGAGAAGCCTCCCCTCCTCCCTCCTCGTTTCCGCTCGTTCCGAATCGTATGCCCGCGGCAGCCTCGGCCTCACTTCCGTGCTCCCGCTCGTTCCGAACCGTGCTCCCGCTGCAGCGTTGGCCTCACTTGCAGTGCCCTGCCATGGCATGCAATGCAATGCCATGTTGTGTTCCGCTGTGCGATACCATGCCTGGAGCTGTACTGCTATGACACGCAGTGCTTGGCGTGCTTGACTGCGCAGTGCCACGCCATGCCATGCCATAGCGCGATTCAATCTTCATCGCCATGCTATGCTCTACCATGTTATGCTATGCATCGCGCTTCTCTCGGGATCGTGATCCTCCTCGACGTCCGACCGTTCGAGTAGAGAGGGGCTCTGCGCAGTTCTGAGGGGGTGGGAGGGCGGGGTAGCACGTCAGATACGACGCGAGCGCACCCAGCTTGCCCCTCCCCTCTCCCCCCTCCCTCCACTCCTTGCCCCCTTCCTTGGAGGAGGAGGAGGAGGAGGAGGAGGAGGAGGAGGAGGCGGAGGAGGAGGAGGAGGAGGAGGAGG